GCACTCTGACTCCTGAGAGAGGCACCTTTGTTTCGCTGCATTCTGCGTAAAAGTGGTTATTCGTTCTGTGACCAGACAGACCGTTCAACCTTTTTCGCTTACTATGTGCCACCTCAATTGCAGTTTTAATTGATTTGCGTTACACTGACAGCATTTTCGGAGTGTACGTGTAGCTTAGAATTAGTCCTTCTAGTGTTAAAAAAAATTGCTTAGCTATGGCAATTCTAATGCAGTACTCATTGCAAGCCCTTTCTTTAGAGGTTACGGGATTAGTAAAAACTGCCTGGCATATTTCATAACATTTCAATTCTCTTCTGTGTGTTGGACATGAGAACAACATGACGCTTGTCAGTTTGTTTTTATTAAGGAGCGTTTTTTAAGTTCAACTAGAGAGAAACTGAAAAGACGCGTTCACTGAAGTATCACACGGCTTCTTGGAATATCTTATAAATTCCTTGTTGGTCATAGCGTGTAAACACGTGGAGACTCAGAAGACAAAGCTGTGTAGGAGGGAGCGGGTCTGCCTCTCCTCCCTGTTCCCCGATGTGTGTTCGGTTTGCCGTAAATGCCCTGGGGGCCTTGTGAATAGTCACGGGAGGAGTCTGCGGCAAGATAGCATTGTGCTTTACTTTTGCCTTTAAGTAAAAGGGATCGGAAATGGAACCATCTTCATTTCAGATATCAATCCGCCACATAAACCTGAAGCTAACCAGAGACCCCGAGGCATTCTCAGTACACGGGGTAATTGGCTGGCTGCAAGACTCAGTTGTACCACAGAGACTTTCCGAGGGTTCAGATGTGCCGTCCTCTGCCGTGCCGCACGGTCTGCACCCAGCGTGTTGGAGGAACCCAGCACCGTGGCGGGGAGGGTGGTTTCCAGCCTCTGATGAGGCCCGCACTCTGCAAGTGGGCCCATCACTCAGAAACCCCGTGCTCCACTTTCTGGAGGTAGAGGTCCCTCTGAGGAAACGAAGCTTCCTCAAGAGCAGCTAGTATTGACGCTATATTGAATGTCTGCTATGTCCACCCAGCCTTCCAGTCTCCATGGTGGCATCTGTCTTATTTAACCCTCCCAGGAAATCAGCAAGGTAAGTACCATTACTCCCTCTTACGGAGCGGAGCGCAGGCCCAGAGAGGCTCAGTAGCCGCTGAATCACGCAACCTTCTCATCACGTAGCAACGCAGAGGACCCTGAATCGGACCCACACAGCAGACACTGGACAGGTGAATCTGAAGCTCGAAAAGAAGGCTAGCACGAGAGACGGAAATGTGGAAGGCATCGTCTTTACTGGTGAGACTTGCGCAAGCATTGTCTTCTGGCAAAGGCAAACTCATAGGGACAGAAAACAGATCCCGTGGTCGCCAAGGACAGGAGGTGACGGGGAGACAGACAGCCAAGTTGTATCAAAGGGCTTTTTGAGGGTGATGGAAGTATTCTTTGCTGATCGTGATGATGGTGACAGGACAGTGTGTGTTTGTCAATAGTCATAGAACTAAACGCTAGAATGGTGGACTTCATGTAAATTATCCTTCAATAAACATGAATTTTTAAGGTAAATTTAAAAGTCTAGAGAAACAGAGGGCAGGTCATTTAGGGAGAGAACGCATCCCATGAGAATAGAAGCGAGCAGAAGTCAGAAACTTAGGGACTGGCCACACACGGGTGGGTGGGAGAAGAGGAGTCCGTGAGGGGGTCTGAAAAAGACCAGGAGAGTGGAACCCAGGGCCCTGTGGTGTTTGGATGCCAAGGGAAGAGAGTGTTTCCAAAAGGAGGAACAGTTAAACCAAGAAAATGCTGTAGAGTCCAAGTGACGTGATGGAACTGTCACCGAGAAGGCCAGTAGTGGCCCTGGAGAGAGCATTTGAAGTTGTTCTCCACAAGAACTCTGTGCTCTGACTTGGTGTTCCTCTATGAGTGGGGCCGAGTTTCTCTCTCGCCATTTTTTGAGATGTTCTTGTGTTCAGTTCTCAGAAGTTTGATAGTGGCGTGTCTTGACTTTGATTTCTTTAAGTTTATCCTGCTTGAAATGTGGTCAGCGTCTTAACCGTTCACTGAATTTGGGGAAGGTCCAGCCACTATTTGTTGGGAGATGTCCCTACGAGCCCTACAGCCTTCTCTTCTTCTGGACTCCAGTGACATCCACGTTGGGCCTTTTGTGGTTTCACGGGCCCCTGAACGTCTTTCAAGTCTGTCTCCCTCTGTTCAGACTGGCGCGTTTCATTGACCGGCCCTGCAGTTCAGCCTCCTCTCCAAGATGCCCCTCCATTCCTCTGTCATCTTCAGACTATGATGTGGCCCATTGGGTGAGTTTGGTTTTTGTCAATGTCTTAATTTTAAAGATGTGGGGTACAGTTTAGAGTTAGGCTTACAAATGTTCATTATGCAGGTCCCCTGGTGATGAGGTGTGCCCCCCCGAGTGACTTCTCAATTTTGCTGATTGTCTTTTTTCAGTTTCTTAACTTCTGGTGGTCTCCCTTTTCTCTCTTCTTTTTATTTGCTGA